ACCTCAGGGCATCTTTTTCTTGTTGCCATAAATTACTCTACTCATTTTTGTTTCAACTTACGCCCTCTTTGGCACGCGCTCAGACCTCAACGCTTTCTTCTCTCCGTGCAGCCGTCTATGTGGCAGCTCAATTAATCTGATAATATCTGAGATTATCATTAGTGGTTAAATACTAGCGATTCCAGCTTCCAGCTTATCCAGAGTCATGAAACACTTTTTAAATCACTGTCACGTTCAAAGGCCTCTGGCCCACCATTCATTCAGCTCACTCATAAAATCAAAAGTATCAGCACTCTAATTCAAAAGCTCTCATTTGGACGACTTGAACATGGTGTCTTTTAAGGAATAAACTCCAATGAATTCATTAAATCAAACATTGCAGGAGATACAAGTTAAGCAGGAGGAGCAGGACAATAGCTCAACCCACTACTAACAGTAAGGAAGATGTTAGTCAGGCAGATCCATTCAGATTCTTATTGGTTTTACATTTAATGTAAGTATCCATGGGACAGAGGTTAATGTAGAAAACTTGTAAGTTGATTTATTGTGAAACATATTAAGGAAAGATCAGAAATTCACTCAGGCACATCCATTAGACTCTTCCTGTTTTTAATTTCTATGTACCTGTTATTTAGAAGTTAGTGGAGAAAACTCGCAAGTTAACGTTGAAATTAAATGTATTTGTGAAACGAGTTTGGTTTCCAGCTCGCTGTGGTAATATGGACGCACAAGCAGGACGCTGATTCCAAATGGAACCACATCACTAACTTTTGAATTTGACACCTTGTGACAAGTACAGCTTTTTGCTCCTCAGTAAAGTTACTCCAGAAGGTTCTGGCCTCACCAAAGTTTGGCGTAACAGTTAAATATGCACGACCAAGAGCAATATTGACTCTGTGTAAAAGTCGAGCATGTTGACTTCTGTGCAGTTCTTAAATGTCTGATCTGTTTCGGTCTCTTTCAGTATCAAGGAAACTGGGCGGAGAGCAGATCTGATGAGAGAGAAAAGTGTTGTTGATGCGCTGCAGGAGCTGGGTCATCTCCTGCGAGAGGAAATGAGTCTCTCTGAACAACTGAATGATCAGGCGTCTGCAGATAGGTCTGGCACAGCGCTGTGTATGTGCATCAAGGAAGGAGACATAAAATGCACAAACCTTCACTGACTATTTCTATTTTTTTCAGGAAAGAAATGAGTATTTTACAGGAAAGAAGCGAGCATGCCACAGAGACGCTGAGACGCACTGCTGCTGAAATCCTGGAGGTGAAACAGCGTCTGGCAGACGTCAAGTCTCGTAATGTGGAAGGTACAGGAAATGTTAGAGGCATCTACAAGCTGGTAAATTTGTATTTGAAAGAGATTCTAACATGCTGTCTTTCTTTGTCAACAGGATAAGCTTTGATCGCAGGAAATCAACTGAATGAATCATTTAAAATGTGTTTTGTAGATGACTTATTTTATTAACTTGAAATCATTTTGTGTGTGTATATATTTATTAACAATAAATAAAAAGTTTGATTCGATCTTGCACCAGAAGTATTTTTCTCCCACTTCACAGATGTTTTGGGCTGGGTTTGAGAACGTCTGGGGCATATTTAATTGTTTTACATTTACAAGTTACAGAACAATATTCATAATTCTCTGCAAAAATTGTTTCCCAACAAAGACTGTCTGATGTTTGGTACAAACCGAAATCATCATATGATTGTGAGAATCAGGGTCAGGTACAGTACCATGTAGGTCTACTGATATTCCTGAAGATAAAGAAAAACTTTGTGATTTAAGTGAAACTGAAGATAAAACTAGTTTTCTGTTTTCAATGCAGAATATAAGGCGATCTAAGGGCCACACTTTTCAGTAAAATGTGCTTCATTTCTGGCCAGTAATTTTGGAAAATAACAAGTAAAGCAGCTATTGAGAAGCTAGGTTTCAGCAGGAACAAAACCACACTTATTTTGCATAAAAGTTTGCAAGACGTTGTGCTAATGTCTAAAAAATGCATCACCACCACAGCACTGTTTTTTGGTGTGTAAAGTCCATGGTGGCTGCAACGTTCGCGGTTAGTTTTGGGAATGTAGACAAGTGAAAGATAAAAACACACTTCAGCAGCAGACTGTGTCAAAAATGAAAGCCTACATCAAGTCAGTTAAGTGAATTTATTGCACTGTCACATTGGCTGTCAGCCCAAACAACTCATTAACAATACCTTCCATATGATTTACCACTAAATCAGGTCACATCGTGTCAAGTGGTAGCTGATGCCAGTTTCACTCATTACTTCTACACTGCTTTCAATTTTAGCCTCAGTCTCAGCAGATAAAAGGGGATTTAATTTACAGGTTACATTCTGTCTCTAGAAAAAATTTATTTGGCATTTACCACTATGTAGGCTTGTACATATATGTACAGTCGTCCTCAAATGTATTCATACCATTCCATTAAAGAAAAGGCAAAATTCACAATAGTCACTCAAACAACTAGAAACTGAAAAAAGTAATAACAAATAAAAATTTACTAAATTATAATTCAGTGAAATAAGATGTTGCTTTTGAATTGTGGTTGAAAAGAATAATTAAAAAAAAATTTGTCCCGGACAACTTAGAGCACTTTGCTGATGAGGGGTGAACTCAAAACACCTGTCCACAGGTGCAGACGTCTGCGTTATAGAAAACACCTGATTGCAGTGATTGACTCAAAGGGTTGTTCAACAAAATATTAGTTTATGGTTCCCATCATGCTTGTTTTTTTTTTTTTTTCATTATTATTATTTTTTTTTCAATATTTCTGTTGAACCACGATTCAAAAGAAATGCCATGATGTTTTCATTAAAAAAAAAAAAAAAAAAAAGATTATTACTTTTGTCAATTTCAACTTATTTCCGTGACAGCTGTTTTTTTTCTTCTTTCATGGGAGGGTATGAACACATCTGAGGATGACTGTACATAAACTTGACATATTTTCTAAAAGTCAATAGAAGAACAGGAAATTTGAAAAATTAAAAAAAATATATTCCGGTGGGAATGTTCAAATAAAAAAAGCCAGTAAAGAGAAAAAATACAAGAAATTAAGCTGCAAGTAACGTATTTTTACTAATTACTTACAGTATAAACAGTTATGTTTGTCTACTATATGTGAAAATCGTAATATTATTTCTTATTATTAAGTTTATGCTTTTTACTTCTTTTGTTGTATAATTTGTGGCATTTGTTGGCTCCTTAAAAAATTTTTCAGATAAATGTTCTTAGTGAATCGTGTGTTGGTGTGAAAGTGGATTTATTGCTGGAGACAAGCTGAGCTGGTTCGCAACCTTTGGTCTGTGAACGCACCTCGATGACGTAATATTGACTCTGTCGGGCTTCCGTAGACATGTCAGGAGGGCGCTTAGTGTAGCATACCGTCGGCTCTGCTTTTACTACACCCCTGTTAAGGTGAGTCGTTTGTTATTTTTTAAGTTATCGTAAGCTATGTTAGTTGTACTGTCCTTAAAGAGCCTTTAGAGAAGGTGGACGGAGCCGCTCGTGTCGGAACATAATGGCTCTTATCGGTCTCTACTACACGTGTCGTTCAAACAACACGTTTACATCAGCAAAATAATGTTAGTGGATCCAAAACAGTTTAACGCCGGTGTTACATGTTGTTGTGAGCAATGGCGTCATGTCTTACAGAAAACAGGAAGTGACTGAGTTGTGAATAATAGTAAAAGTGTTCTGTTTTCCTCACAGGCAGAGAGTGAGATTAAACAACAACAAACAACATGACATCTGGTTCCGACTGTCGATCCATCTTTGATCTGTGCTCTAATGAAGAGGTGTTTGGACTGAAAGAGGTGAACCCGGTCCTGAAGCAGGCTGGAAACACTGGCACGTCCTCAGACTGTAAGTAGGAGTTTTGTTTTGTGTTAAAGACATTACCCTGAATTAATTCAAACCAGAACCTTCATGAGTTCTTCACTGCAGGTCTGGAAGACAAAAGTCCAGAGGATGACAAACCAGGAGAGTCCAACCTGGTCAGAGAGGTGTCGGACAAGATGGTCTGCTCAGCCTGCAGATGCCCCTTTATTAACCGTGAGGAACAGGTGATGTCAAACGCTGCTTCATTCAATGAGAAAAGATGCGTTGGTGCATTAAAAACCAGCGGATAAGAATGTTTTGTGTGTTGCAGACGGAGCACTACAAGCTCGACTGGCATCGGTTCAACTTGAGGCAGAAGATGGCAGGATTACCGCCGCTCACGGCAGAGGAGTTTGAGAAGAAGACTGGAGCTGGTGAGGAAATCATTCTTCGTTTCTTTGACTTCTCTCTTCAGGTCTTCCTAAAGGAGATGCGAGCGTAGGAGACAAGGAAGAGACACGAGGAGAGAGAGAAGTCAATGCAACGGGCATTTAACAGAATTAGACCTCCTCACCTTGGAGCTGTTGTTTTAAAGCGTCACCAGTTAAATATAACACTCTTCTAAACCACCACTTATTTTAATATTCATCTGTCAGACGAGCACAACAGTGTTCCTGACAACTTCCAGCATCGATGTACTTGTAATTCAATTCACAATGTGGTGTAGTGTGACAGGAATGTATGGATGTCATACATTTTGAATTTTTATTTAACACGTACACACACACGTGGAGTCACGTATGCAAGAGAAGTGACACAAAAGAGTACTATACAAATGAAACGTGACATTTATTATGATTCAATGATGTTTATTATATACACATTTGTCAGTGCTGCTCCTGACATGGTTTGTATATTCCAACTGTATGTCGCGCCTCTTTTATCCGTCACGCGTCCACTAAATATATATCAAGAATACACCTTTGCACCTTTGCTAATGGATCCTCCAACAAGCCTCCTGTCTCCTTTACATGCATTTTAAAATAAGACATTCTTCAATATTGATTTCTAGGTCACAGTCAGGAGGACAGAGGAGGCAAGGAGGCTCAGAACAGAAAACTATATTGAGCCTCTAAACATCTAAATCAGGGGTGTCAAACTGCGGTCCTCGAGGGCCGCAATCCTGCATGTTTTAGATGTTTCCCTCTTCCAACACACCTGATTCAAATGATCAGCTCATCNAAAAGAGTACTATACAAATGAAACGTGACATTTATTATGACTCCATGATGTTTATTATGTACACATTTGTCAGTGCTGCTCCTGACATGGTTTGTGTATTCCAGCTGTATGACGCGCCTCTTTTATCCGTCACACGTCCACAAAAGTTATAGCAAGAATACACCTTTGCACCTTTGCTAATGGCTCCTCCAGCAAGCCTCCTGTCTTCTCTACATGCATTTTGAAATAAGACATTCTTCAAGATTGATTTCCAGGTCACAGTCAGGAGGAAAGAGGAGGCAAGGAGGCTCAGAACAGAAAACTAAATTGAGCCTCTACACATGTAAATTGAAAAAGGTCTAGTTGAAGTGTTTGATTTTCAGTTGTCCCTTTACAGGAGACTTGTCGAGTATCTCCGGCTCAGAGTCTGATTCAGAGGAAGACGACTCAGACAGCGGCGGCGGGGGCACAAGTGGTAACGTCACTGGCACAGATAATGAGAGCTCACTTGATGCCGGTTTAATTACTGGCCGACTCTCCAGCAAGGTGTTTTTTCAGAACGCAGCGGGACAGTATGTATCAGTCTACCGCTGCGTCCTGCAGGGACGAAAGGTAAGGCTCAGCAGGCACAGTATGGACAAAAGCTTTAGATGGGTTTTTTAAAATTCTAATTTTTTGTTTGTTCCTGTGATGTTTCAGTCAGACGATGAGCACAATACAATCGCCTCCCTGAAGGCCATAAACAAGAAGACTGTGTGGGTCATTCTCATGACAGGTGGAGGACACTTTGCTGGTGCTGTATTCGAAGGGTAAGTGGACAGGTTTGGGTTGTGGTTTTTTTTGTGTTTTGTTTTTTGCTTGTTTGCTTTCAGCGATTAAGATTACAAGTTGTGGATGGCACATTAAGACAGCCAGCTCACTTGTGTGTAAGCATCCACCCAACACAACGTATTCATTTATGTTGCAGAAAACAAGTCCTGCAGCACAAGACTTTCCACAGATACACAGTGCGAGCAAAGCGAGGCACCGCTCAGGGACTCCGAGATTCTCAGAACCGCAGTCACACTCCGAAGTCCGCCGGAGCTGCTCTGAGGCGACACAATGAGGCAGCGCTAGTCAAGGCAAGATTACAGTCCATTTAACAGCACCGTTATTTTGTCCTTACAGTGATAGCCATGACTTGTTCTACAAACAAAGTAAACTTCTCAGGCTTTATCTCTCTTATCAACTGTGGTCCCTGCAGACCCCAGAGGTACACCACATCCTATCTCTCAGATGCTTCATTTTCTCATTCCAGTTTTTCATTATCATTGTCTTTTTTCTAAATTAAGCGTTCTGGGTTCAGTCCTTTTAAAAATCAAAACAAAAAAACAATATATCGAGGTCCCCTGGGCCCGCAGTCAAAATCACCCAAATGCAGCTTCACTAGATTAACCTATTAAGTTCTTATTTGCCATGCATCCTAATTTAACATATCGCACACCGTCGGGGGGGGGGGGACAGCTCTGTCATTGATTACGAAGGTGACAGACACATGTGGTTCCTTAACCAACCTAAATACTGCTCCTCCTAAAAAAACAAGATGATGTTCAGTGTAATAAATATAATCCAGAATTTCATGCTAAAATGTTTTGTAATCATGAAAATTAAGTGTTCATGTTCTATTATACAAGATAAGACTAAAATATTGTGTCATGCATATGAGTGACAGGCAGTCAGGATGTGGTATGAGTGCGGTGAAGAACAGAACAGATGTAATCATTTTTGAGGCTGCAGAGGGAGGGGCGTGAAGGAGGTTTATGCAAGGAGCAGGATTTAGGGAGGTTTCTCAGAGCTCCCAGATGTGTTAAGCTGTAATAAATGTAGAATGTATCTGTGTACTGTAGCTTTGGATGACTTCAGTGTTGTTTTTTTTATTTTTAAGGCAACAACAGCAGAGACTGGCCACATTTGGCTTTTCAGTTTTGAGTGAGCAATATTTCACACTGATGATAAATGCATGCTGTTCATATTATTGTCGTTTGATGCTTTAAAACAATAGTATTCAATTCTAGAAGCTACAAACAGTAGATGTAAAATGGTGTAACAGTATACGGTTTTCTAAGCTTATTAGTACTTCACTCATAAACTGAAGTTGTGGCTTTTTGCACATGCAGCTTCTTCAACACTTCTGTAACTTTTTGCAGGACATTCAGGATCTCCTGCTACTCTGGGCCGAACACTTGAAAGAGGCTTCTGCAATATTTATACGAGCCCCAAGCTACAACAGGACCATCTTTTTTGGTGGTCGTGCAGCTCCCCTTGACAAAAAAGATCCCAGGATCCACACCCTTCCCTTCGCCACACGCCGGGCAACATTTCGAGAGGTCCAGAGGGTCCATGAGGTGCTTTCTACTGTCCGCGTGTACGGTAAGCCGAATTACATGCTTGGAGTAATAGCATGTTGCCTGCGCATTCTTGTACAGCCGGGGTGTAATTGTTGTATTGTCAAAAATCTCTTACTGAAGGGAAAGACACAGACATGTCAGCAGTCTTCAGTCCATCTAAGAAGACCTGGAAAAAAGCCGTCAAACCTACAGCACAAATAAACACAGATCAAGAGAAAGGTAGGCTTATGAGTCTCTGTTGAAGTCTAAAGTATGGCATTAAATGGCAATATTGAGGTTATTTGTTTATTGGCGGCATCAGCAGAAGAAAACCACGACAGCTCAGAAGAAGATAACGGTGGGGAGATCCAGCTGGAGATGGTGGAGCTGACATTAGGAACCCTGGACCTCAGAGAGTCTGAAATCTATCTTCCCAAGCACAAGAGAAGAAGGAGGAAAAAGAAAGAGGATGCCAGAATGCAAAATGAGGGTAGGTCTGCTCCAGAGTGTCATCACATATGTAGCTATAGAAACCAAAGGAATTTTATGTGTCACGCAAATGTTTTGGAACATTGATGAAACCTCTCATCCATCTGGGACAGAAGTAAGTAACTCTGAGGCAGACAATCAAGACGAGTGTGCGCCAGAGACCACGCCGGCACAAGAGACCCCTCAAGAAACACAATCAAAGACAAAGAGGAAGAGAAAAGCACAGAGTAAGAAACAACAGGATGGTGAGTAAGGCCTTATATTGTTCTATGATTGTTATCTTGCACTTGCTTCTCAATCTCGCAAAGCTCTGTAATGCAGCGTTTTCAAGAAACCTACATACTTCTCTTGTGTCCTTACAGACACTGTTGACGATGAATCAGGCGAGTACGGCTTGAGAGATGAGCTCTTTACGGCCTGCAAGGTCGGGGATGTGGATGCTCTATGTGGACTGCTTCAGCTACCTGGAGAAATGGCAGAGAGTCAGGAGCAGTCAGAGATCAATCCCTCTGATGCCTCGAGTCCTCAAGCTCTCCTTAAAAAACCCATAGACTCATCAGGGTTCACTTTGCTGCATGTTGCCTCAGCAGCTGCACAGAAGGCAGTGGTCAGGCTGCTGTTAGACGCAGGAGCAGATCCAGCTTGCAGGTGAAAAGAATCATTTTGGTCAAGTGTCATTTCAGTGCAGCAGTTGTTGTAAATGCAGCGAACCTATGCCCACACTTGAGCACTGTTTGTGGAATATTCCTTTACAGGGATAACAAAGGGCAGACCCCGTATGTTGTAGCCCCCGACAAAGAGACGAGGAATGTCTTTCGTAAATACATGGCTGAGAATCCTGACAAATACGACTACGGCAAAGCACAGGTGAGAGTGGACCAACTTTTTACACGTATTGCATCAACTGAAAAACAGAACTTACGGTTTACTTCTGTGCAACCAAAGGTCCCTGGGCCACTAACGGCAGAGATTGAATCCAAAAAGATGGAGAAGAAAAAGGCCCAAAAGGCTCAGAAAAAACAGCGAGAAAAAGAGCAGAAGGAGGAGAAGAGGAAACAAGAGTTGGAGGTGGAGGAAAAGAAGAAGTTTGCATCTCTGACAGATCGAGAAAAGGTAAAACTGTGCATTTGATCTGTTTTCTTGTCTGAAACTTTTGAAATATTAAATACTTTTCTCTTTGATTGCAGAGAGCTCTGGCAGCAGAGAGGAGGTTGGCCGAACAAGTGGCTGCAGCAGGAGCCAGCATCTCTAATGTGAAGTAAGTCCCTGAAAAGCCACACTGTCGTTTAGCTTTGTCATAATGCACATTTACACTAGACAATGGTGGACATGTTTAAGGGTTTTACTGAAGTTTGGTGTCATGTCTGTGTGTTCATCTTTATCAACAGGAGATGCTGGTTGTGTGGAGAGTCTCTGCTTGGGAAGATCCCATTTCAGTACCTGGATTATTCCTTCTGCAGTCCTCGCTGTGTCCAAGCACATCGAAAAACAAACGCTCCTCCAGGCAAGGCCTAACACCCATACAGGAACTTTATATTTGGAGGGGAATCATTTCACTGAAACTACATGTGAATTTGTCTTTATAAAGCACTAATAAGACTGAGTCTTTTCTGTGTTTCCTATTTCACTGTAAACACTCATTTCAAATACAACTTTATTTTGGTAGATAATCACAGACAACTGGATACACGTGCTGTATCAAAATGTAATGAAATAAATGTACAGTTTATTTACATGATCAGCAATGGTGGATAAGGTAAAATGAAATGCAATAAAAACATTGTCATACTGTTTATGCGTCAGTCATTTTCCCACAGGCTTAGTGAATATTAAAACTCAGTGACAAGATTAACATGCTCACTGTTGGACTGTGAAGCTGCCGTGCCAAAAGTTAAAGAAGCTGACATTGGATTGTGTCTGATAAAGAAGTGTCTACATGTGAAACGTTGACATCTGCAGTATTTTGGAATAAAAAAGTCACAGAAATAATGTGGAACAAAGCGTTGTTCCTCTGAGCAGTTTCCTCGTGTCAGGGTCAGCTGTTCAGGGAACGACTTCTGCTTTGCTTTAGTCAGATTTTTTGATGGGTTCTTATACGGATGCTTTGACAGTGTTTTTTTTTTTGTTTTTTTAAATCGTGCAACAAAACTCAGTGTCAAGACTTTCCAGCAGTGAAGTTGAGCTGAGGCCGATCCATGAACATAACCCGCAAGTGAGCCGGGGCTCCTTCCAGCTCCAACACTGTGATGTTGTTGGGTAGGGTGGTGCTGAGCAGAGGTCCAGGGATGTACAGAGTCTGCTGAGGGCCCCTGGCTGGCCAGTATCGGCCCATGTTCATGCCATTAATCCACACCTGGCCCTGATGACGAAAAAAGACAACGTTAACATCCAGTTATTTTAGATCATTTTATTCCTCTGGCTTCAGAATAACCCCAGATGTGTCAACATTACCTTTGTCCATTCACTGAGCTTGAGAAAAGTGTCCCAGGCCAGGCCGTTGGGCTGTAAGGTGCCCATGTAGAAGGCTGGTCCAGCCGGAGGCGTTGTCTGAGGGGAGCGGACGGACTTTTGATTGCCTGACTGAGGCCACCCACTGGCAATGGCTCCATCAATGTCCAAAGGGTAAATTTTCCAGTCAGTCAGTATGTCTTTACCCAGGATCAGGTTGCTCAACAGACCCTAGAATAAATACACCAATTACAAGCCATCAATCATATTCTGTGCACGGAAATTTTACTAACAATATCTATCACGTAATAATCAACAGTATGATTGTTATTTTCAGAGTTTTATCAGGCCTGTTATCAACTCTAAAAGGAACCGTCCCTGGAACTTTGGTTGCGTCAGTCTGTATGTTCTGTTTACTCCTTGTTGAGACCTCAGGCTTCAAGAATTTATTCTGTAGGGGATTTGACACTGATTCCTTGCCTTGTAGTCATTGATTTTGCTGCCAAAGTTAACCCTGCCCATGTTTTCAATGAGGATGTCCACTGTGTCCCCCTGCTGTCCGGTGACTTTCATCACCAGCGCAGTGTCTCTCTGCAGCAGGCCCTGGAAAACCTGTTCATACAAACAGACACCCTTCAGCATGCTTACAAACATAAAACTGAATATTTGTTTTCTAAAATTCCCAATCTAAAAACACCTATTTCAAGCGTTACCTTCACCTGTGTATATTTTCCCCCCCCTGACCTGGAAACCTGATTGGCTAGACAACAAAAGGTGACTGTGAGCCCTTACCCCATTGACGGACACATATGCACGGTCATGAACCCCATTCAGCGGAGAGATAAGTGGCGTGGGCTCTGAGAGGTCCCTGGGTAGCGTTGTGCGGTACAGCATGTAGCCATAGTACTGAACACAATAGACATGACAGGTTGCAGACAAAACAGTCTAGAAGTTCTCCATGTTTCAAGGGGTTTACTGTCAGTGCTAGTCTCTTTCATTGCTGCCGTCAGACGGACATCGTACCTGTTTCATCTCTTCGAATGTCAGAGGATACTTAGATTTGACCGGCCCCAGAGGTGAAAGGGTGTTCAACAGACCGCTGATGTTTCCAACCTGTAGGAGTACATTTTTTAAAAAGTTGAACACATTTTAAGACACGATTGTTGTCATCAGCGACTTGAAGTGATTTTACCCTTTGCAGCGTCACAAAGCCATAGGCAAACTTGGGAGTTGCTGGTGGCATGGGGCCAGAGGGAATCACTCGAAACTGATGAGAAAGTGAAATTAATTAATCATCATCTCAATCATCAACCTCAGCGGGCGGCTGTTCAATCAGCTGTACCTGCGATATGACGTCTCTGATGGCCAGCAGCTTCTCTGTGGGGTCTCCAGCCTCAGTTAGCGGGGCGTCGTAATCATAACTCGTCACCACTGAGCGGAACCTGGTGTCATGATCGGCACCTTTAGCGAGAACAGCAGAGAGTTAAAAGAGACCGCTGTAAAGCTTGTAACCACTCATAAGATTTAGATACTGATTACGAAAACATGTGACTTCACCGTTCCAGTAGCCAAAGTTCGTTCCTCCTTCAAACATGTACCTGAGTAGAGAGAGAGGTAAACTGTATTACTAGAGAGAAAGAAACATCACTTTCTATCAACCTCTTGTTGGCAGTTTTAGATTATGTTGGTGAGTGAGGTGGTTGACTTTGTATTCATCTTATTGGTAACAAATTTAACCCACAACCACCTGATATAGCCAAACAAAAAATCTAGTTCTAATCACTAGCTCATATGCGTATTAATCCACAGCTGAAAACAGTGTCTAACAAATGCTGTATTTACTTTTTGCTTAAATATTTCCTAAAAACTACAGTGCCCAACTGATTAACTTATAAGACTTAATTAAAAAAAAAAAAAAGCTACAGTCGTCCTCAACTTTATTTATACCCTTCCATTAAAGAAAAGGCAAAATTCACAATAATCAATCACATAACTAGAAACTGAAAAAGTAATAATAAATAAAAATTTGCTAAATTATAATTTAGTGAAATAAAACATTGCTTTCGAATTGTGATTGAAAAGAATAATTAAAAAAAAAAAAAAAAAAAACTGTCCCAGACAAATTAGAGCACTTTGCTGATGAGCAGTAAAATCAAAATACCTGTCAACAGGTGCAGAAGTCTGATTGAGAGTTACAGAAAACACTTGATTGCAGTGATTGGCTCAAAGAGTTGTTCAACAAAATATTAGTTTACAGGTCCCATCATGCTTGTTTTTTTTTCTTCTGTTGAACCACAATTTAAAAGCAATATCATGATTTTCATTAAAGTTTTATTTATTGTTACTTTTGTCAATTTCAGTTTTTCCTTCTTTAATGGTAGGATATGAATAAATTTGAGGACGACTGTATATACAGGCCACAAACAGGGCAGGCAGCTTGAAATGCTGGGAAACATGAAAACTCCTGACGAGAAGAAAACGCAGAACACCCATCTTTTTGTTCAACCAAATTTTTACAGTGAGGAGAAAAGCTTGAAAGGCTCGAGGGTTTGGGGAGACATACATGTTGACGCTGGCCCCCATGGTTAGCATTTCTCCTAGCACTCTGCTGACCTTCTGAGTATCAACCACGGCGTGCGGATCTCCCCAGTGGTCCAACCAGCCGGTGTAGAACTCTGAGTTCACCTGTAGCATCATTTAAAACATGCTTCAACTGTTTTTCCTCTTACTGCACGTGAAGATAATTAGTGATTTAAGATGTAACGAACCAGAGGTCCTCGAGGTTCAAATCGTCGTTGCCTCTTAAAGGCTTGAGATATGTTCGTGTCTGAGTAAAAAAAATACAGAAATTATGACTTTATCTACAACTAATATAGAAAAGCAGACACTGTTATCTCCTGAGCACACAATACCAACCTGTGCCAAAGTCCACTGTGGCATATAATCCCTGCAGAGTCCCGCATGTCATCTCCCTGTCTGTGTTTCCATCAGTGGTGAACAGGACGACGTCTTCACCCAGAAAGAAGCGAAACAGAGTTCTGAGGTGACGCATGTAGTTGTAGTCGCAGGAGAAGTAACTTCCGTATTCGTTCTCCACCTGCGGTTAAGATGAGTCATTAAAACCAATAATAACACACTAAATATTAAAACAGAAACTCATGAGGGCCCACTCAGTGCTCTACCTGGACTGTAATGATGTTGCCCCCGTTGATATAAAGCCAACGTTTCATTTTGGGGAGGAGAACAGCGAGCCAGTTGCTGACTGCCTCCAAGTAATCTGGAGCAGAAGAGAAAAAAATGTGTGTCAGATTACACAAAAAAAAAAGAAAAGAAAGTGAAAGACACTGCTGACTGTTTTACCTGTGTCTGCTGAGCGGAGTATGATGTTCGGTTTTTGGAGCAACCATGCTGGCAGTCCACCCTGGAACAGAAAATGTCAATGAGGGAAATGCAGAATACAGAAATCATTTATTTCTCAGTGAGATGACTGAGAACAAAAGGAAGTTATTATAAGATGAGTCAGTCTCTTTTATTTTTGTCTCACTACTATTTTGGAGTGCACTGTCAGAAAGCACCGCATCTATTTTAAGCCTGCATTTTCAAACATATGAGGAACACATTAAATATATATATATATTCTTCCACAACTACAGTAAAATAGCTGCTTGATGTGCTGACATTACATTCCCATACAACTGTAGAGTAATAGATGCATTATTATTTAGTGACAAAGTATAGAGCATAAAGTTGACTAAGTACTTACTTTAACTATAAAAGTCCAAAAATCTGAGGCATTAATGATGAAAACAGCTGGACGATTCTGTAATTCTTGTTTCAATTAGTTGATTTCTTAATTTTTCCACAATGTCAGATTGTAATTTTTGGTACTTTTAAAAAATAATGTATGTATAAGTTGTCTTTTTTCTTCTTTATGTGGTGATGTTGTGAATTCATTTGGTAAATTCAGCTTGTATACTGACATAAACTGAACTTTTCTCACCATTTCCCATTCAGCACAGATGTACGGTCCTGGACGCAGGATGACCAGAAGACCCGTCTGGTTGGCCAGATCCAAAAAATGCTCCAGATCTCTGTCCCCGGTGAAGTTGTGGACGCCCTGCACTGTTTCATGGAAGTTCCAGGGGACGTATCTGTGTGCAGGTAGGAAGCAAAATTACACGAAACAAACACTCACAGATGATATATTCAAGTATGTGATGTGATGAGCTTACACTTGGATGGCATTGAGTCCTGTCATGTACATCTTGAGGAGCCGGTCCTTCCAGTAGTACTGTGGGATTCTAGAGTAGTGGATGCTGCCTGAGATGTACTGGAAAGGCTTC